CTGGGGTGGGCATCATGGTGGCATGATTACAGATTGGGGATCCGGCTCAGCGGAGCAGGGTAACTGCAGGAGGTGGAGTGGCCACCTCAGTTAGGGCAATGGACTCCGCTCTCTCCTCAGCTGTCATCTCAGCACCCGCAGGGCTAGATCTAACAGTCCTTCCCAGGCAGGGACTCACACCACCTGCCATCCTGCCTCACCACAGGGGCCTGGAGGCAAGTACCAGACATGCCAAGAAAGACTTAATTGGGAAACTAAGGGAAGGACTCACCTAAACTGCCAAAGAAGAGGAGAAAGAAACTTAGCTGCAGAAAAAGTCACCTCGTAGAATTCTATTCTCTGGAGGAAGCTGAAAAGTGGCTGCCAAGAACCCTGCCCTTGGCTGGACAGGCAGAGCCTGGGTCCCTGTTTGGGGAATGGGTAGCAGAATCCTGGCTTGGAACAAATCTGGGTTGGCACTGTCTCAAGGGCTACTGAGATGTCCAGATCCCTGAGAGGGTCAGGATTCATCTCACCGTGGCATCTGCAGCTACATGCAGACTTTGTCCGGGACACTGACATCCAGGATAAAGACACCTTTTTCTCCAGCTTGTACAGCTCTCAGTGGGTCCCTGGGTCTCAGGCCCCTTACAGTCAATTATAATCACTCCCTTCTATGAGGTCATAACAGATAAACGTAACAGCTAACACCGTACCCTTCCTTTTGTGTCCGTCAGTATTCTACTAGCAACTGTGTGAGGTTAATAACGTAAGCACCTGTTACTGCTGCAGGCACAGGATGTGGTGGGTGGGAAGAGTCGTCCCAGGCACGCTGACAGCTTGACCATGTACACTTCTGGGCAACCCGTTTAACCCAGCTAACCCTTGTCCATAAAGTGGGTTAGAACACATTTACTCTGTGACGTTGGGCTTCCTCCCCAAGACACGGCGTATCCTCCACGCCATCCTTTCCCCTTCTTTGATTCACTTCCCTAGCCAGGCTGTTTGGTCAGCAAACATTTGTCCGCTAGTAAGGCTCCTGCTCGTGAGCAAAGTCTGGTTTCTTCTGACTCCATTCCAGTCTCTTCTGGAAGTATTCCAAGTCTATCCCGTGTGGGCTCTAGTCCCAGGTACTGGTGCTGGTTCAGAGCGGACTGGAGGCAGGAGTCTGTGTGATACAGCGGGGCAATGGGGCTGGGGAGCAGGCAGCTGGGACCAGGGGCTCAAGCTGCTAGGGCTCTTCTCCAGCTTGCCTCTCTCCTGCTGGCCTCCAGCCAGGGTGGGCAGGCAGCAGCTTCTCGTTACTTCTGCCTGCAAAGCATGCACTCGGCAGGGCATCCTTTGGGGACTGTATTACCCCGGAGCACCTGAGTCTTAGCCCCCAAGCAGATGGACATCTGGGAATGCTGTGACCAGGCCTACCTTTCCTGACCCTGGAGCTCTCTGTTTAACACACCGAGTCAGTCCTGGGCACTAAGGACCAAATGAAAATTATGTTTGTGGAGCTGGAGAGGACCTGGGCTCAGTTCCTAGTACCCGGGGGACTCAGGCGATCTGATGCCCTCTGACCTCTGTGGGCACCATTATGCACGTGGTACATATAAACTTATGAAGGTACATATACATACACACAATAAATGAATAAATTAAATTTCCATTTCCCTTTATTATTATTTCATTTACTTTAGTGGGGTAGAACAGGTCTCACAATGTAGCCCTGGTCAGCATGGCAACTGTAACCATGTAACGTAACTATGGAAACTAGGTTGACCTCTAACTCAATGACACTGTCTCAGCCTCCCACGTGCTGGGATTCCAGGCACGTACCAGTATACCCAGCTCATTTATTGACTTATATGTATATTTTTATTGTGTATGGTACTGGGATCAAACCCCGAGCCTCCTCGTGCAGATGAGGCATGTGCTCTATCCACCTCCAAGCTCCAAACCAGAACAATGTCTCATTTCAAAGGACTCAAACACTTGTCCAGTCCCCCCCCACCCCCCACTGACTCTGACAGCCTCGCTGAGATAATATGGGACACCTCTTTCCCAAAATATCTTCATTTCCCTCTCCCAACAAAGAAATGCTTCACTAGAACAGTTCTCTACCACTTTCCATACCAAGGTAAATCAGAAACAAAGAAATAGACACAAGAGGCAACTTGTGGATTTTATCTTGCCTAACCTGCACCACAGTCCTGCATTCAGGAATTATTACCCCCATTGCATGGGTGAGGAGGGAAATGGAGTTCACACAGAGAGGGGTTGGTTGGAATCATAGCTGTCTGCGGGCTGGCTCTCCTCGATCCAGGTACCAGGCTGTCTCTGTCGGTCAGCTTCCAGCTCTGCTAGCTTGGGCCGTCTCTTGTGGCTGAGCTGTGTGCATTGTGTATAGATTACCCTTTTGGCCATGCTGGTCCCAGGGGAAACTGCCTTGCTCCATCCGGTGACAGCAGCAGCGACTGGGCCCCGCCTTCGATTCTCTCATTAGCTTGTCTTAATTACAGCCAGACCACAGCAGTTCCGGTGTCAACTACCTGCTCCTGCTGCAAGGCAGACAGGCTTGCTGCTACCTTTTCTAGCTTCGCCTGACTCCAGCTCCTCTGCCTTTCCACGGCTGCTGGCAGCTTTTCTCTGCTGCCCTTGGTTCTCACACATGACAGTGGGACAAACACTCAAACCCCTCCAGCCCCGGGAAGTCTGCGTCAGTCTGGCTCAGGTCAAGCGTGCTTCTGGCTCTGCTTAGCCAGGTGCTGTGCACAGGCAAGAAAGGGGAGGAGGGCACCGAGTGCTTCCCTTCCAGAAGCCTGGAGTCTGAGGCTAGGACACGGAAACAGAACAAACCACTGGCAAGAGGGAGGCAGAGGCTGGAGGGAAACTTGGTGTTTGGTTTTAAACCTTCTAATTTACAGGTAGAACTAAAGCCTAACAAAGGCAACCCAGGGAACTAATCACATTAAATAACAGCAACTAACATTGCTTAAATTTTTTTTAACTATTTTTTTTAAAAAGATTTACTTTCAGTTTTAATTATGTGTGTATGTGTTTGTACAAGTGAGCTCAGTGTCTATGGAGGCCAGAAGAGGGCTTTGTATTACCTGGAGCTGGAGTTACAGGTGGTTGTCATTGCTGGACATGACTGCTGGGGACCAAACTGGGGTTCTCTGCAAGAGCAGCCCATACTCTATCACATTAACACTATGTGCCGGGCTGTTTTAATGACAAGGAAAATGAGGCAGAGAGGGGTTAAATACCTTGTCTGAGTTCCCACTAGTACAGAAGCCTGAACTGAACTCTGGACCCTTGCCACTATACTGCAGTCTATAACGCCCAGTTTCTTAAACTGTGGTGACAACCTCATACGGATTTGTGAATATGAAAAATTTGGCAGGAGTAAAAGGTTTCTAAACACACGACAATAACAAATTATTTCAAAATCAAATATGTAATGAAGCCAAGGTGTCATTGGTAGCGCTTGCCCACGTTGTATCATGTGACTTCACTGTGGCCTTGATTCTGAACACATGACAAGGCCAGCAAACCCTTCCTGAAACACCTCAGCTCGGACTCCCTGTGATATAAATTGGTTTTTGCTCCTTTAGAAGCATGATGTCAAAGTATGAGAACAAAGACTTGTTTCGACTTTTTCTCAATGTCCTGCCTCAGCAGCATCAAAGTGGTGTATCTTCGGGCTGTGCTACGATATAATGCTTGATTTTGAAAACTGCTATATGAGCTGCAGATTTGGATTTCTTTTAAGTCATTAAATAGAACTGGCCAGATGGCTCAGTGAGTAAAAGCACTTGCACCAAGCCTAAAGACATGAATTCTGATCCCTGAAACAAGTGCTATGTGTGCCCCCCACCCCACACACACACCATCAAGGGAATTTTGGCTTAGGACAGAATGTCCTAATTCAGCAATCTCTGAAATGGTCCTAAACAAACTGCTGTCTTGTACTGGGTATTCATGGGAAGTGGTGTTCTCAGCACTGACGACACCCAATATCAAACTTTCAACCAAGAGTTAACTCTCTATGTAAAAATAAATGCACACTCATCTCATTAGTACACAAGTCTGCTGTTGTCCTTTAATAATAAAATTTCATGTATACCAAAAAACTGTTTTTAAAATAAATTTCTTTATGAGGTATTGCCAGTACTTGTCTGGTTTGTATACACTTGTATACACCTGTACACCTGGATCATGTTGCGTGGAAAGGGGTCATGAGCAACAAGAGTTTAAGAAGCCCCATTCTGCCATACTGTGCAGTTTCATCAGGGAAAGTAACAGAGAGCTTTCCTGAATGAATGCCTCCTGGGTGCAATCATGAAAACCTTGAACTTGCATTATCCAGAGCCAGGCAAAAGCAAATCTCAATGAACTGGGTCTGTGTCTGACTAGGAGTCCCTGGTGCTGCTGTACACCAGGCAGCAAGGGCAGGGAGCCAAGCCCTGTGCTTCCAAGGCAGAGCCAGACCAAGAGGAAAGAACTTTCTAGAATGGGTTTACCCAGAGGTCCAGAAGTGTCCAACACACTCCCCAGTTTTATGTCTCGCTGTCTATACATGATGCCCAAGAATATGCATTAGATCTTTAAATGTTATTTTCTGAGGCAGGAGCTAGCTCAGGTGCTTTAAAAGATACTCAATGATATAGTCTGAAATATTCATAAAATGGGCTTCTAATGTCACCAAAAATGTCCCCCAAATTCTCCCTCCCTCCCTCCCTCCCTCCCTCCCTCCCTCTCTCTCTCTCTCTCTCTCTCTCTCTCTCTCTCTCTCTCTCACACACACACACACACACACACACACACACACACACACACACACACACACACACAGGACACACAGTCTTACTATATATCCCAGACTGGCTTGGAACTTGTATTTAGCTTCTAGAATGCTGGGGTTACAGATGTACACCACCAAGCCTGGCTCCTCAAAGCCCCAAAGAGTCTTCTCCAATTCTGTTACATGGGTTTCACAATCAACTGTTATCAGTGTAAAAGTTACTTACTAATTACTGCCAAATTGTGTTCTGAGCCGCAAGAAATCTGTAAAAGTAAAGAAAATATATGCTATTAAAAAAATTGAATAGCTATCTCAGCTGGTATGCTTTGTGATCATGGTTATTTTATAATGACATACACATTCATTTTGGCAAATCTTAGAAAGATGTAGAAAGGAGCATCATATACAAAGGTTAAAATTATAATCATAACATTCACAGCTATATAAAAAGTCAGTGTGAAAAAACATTGAATAGAAATGCATCAAGATGTTAAAGCTGCCTTTAGCCAGTTAGACTACCAGTGATTTTTTTCTTTCTACTTTTTACTTTTCAAACTTCCTTCTTTTTCACTTAAAATTTTAATTAGTTTTATTTCTTTTTTTTTTCATTTTATTTTATGTGTATGGGCATTTTGTCTGCATGCATGCCTGTGCACCCTGTGTATGCAGTAACCACAGAGGCTGGAAGGGGGTGGTGGATCCCCTGGCTTGGGAGTTTCAGACAGTTGTGAGCTACCACATGGGTGCCAGGAATTGAACCTGGTCCTCTGTCAGTGTTCTTAATCACCGAGCCATCTCTCTAGCAAGCCCCCCCCCCTTCTGCCCGGCGACATCGACTCATGTAGCTAAAGCCGGCCTTAAACTTGGACTTCTACTTCCCAAGTGCTGAGATTACAGGACGGGCTGCCACACCCAGCCCAGTCTTCAAAATTTCCATAATGCACATGTTACTCTAAAAAACTGGAAAGGCACAGCAAAAAAGGGAACCGTTTTCAAACACTGAACTAAAAAGACCATCATTGCTATTTAGTGATAAAATGAGCCTCTTAAGAAGTCAGTGGAAGCAGATGTTTCTGCTCTGGCCCCTCCCCTTCCAGCCCAGACTCCCTGTGGCCTCCGAACATACTGTGTTCTCCTGCGCTTGAGTACATGCTTGTTCGTCCACCCAGAACGGCCTCCCCACCGCCTATACAAAAGGTCTATTCACTTTCCACCTTGGAGCACAAGGTAAGCGCAAGGTAAGTGTTGCTGAACTCCTTGGCTACAGTGTTTAGGCTGACTCAGGCACTCATCACTCTGCCCATCTATCGGGCATCACATTGCAGCAGGCACCTTGTCCTTTAGTGTTTCTTCTGGTCTCTGCACTAGACACATGCACCCCGAGAACACAGCTGTCTCACCTCTGTATTGTACTCGTGATGTGTACAAAGCTGGGGCTCAGTTAACATCTGACAGACGAGAGAATGAATAATGGTACCAAGTGCATGAAAGAGAGAGAGAGGGAGGGAGGGAGAGGTAGGTAGGTAGGTAGGGAGGGAGGGAGGGAGGGAGGGAGGGAGGGAGGGAGGGAGGGAAGAAAGCCTCAGAGAGAGAAAACAGTTGGTCGTTCAGGGCTCTGAATCCAGTATCTCCAACCACTGGCAGATACTTCTACCCCTTCGGTCTCCACGTTATCTACCTGCTGTCAGGAGGAAGTGACAGGGATGGAAAATGATAGGTAGTTGCCTGGGTTCTAGTTCTAGACTCTGGAGAAGCATGTGTGACCTGTTTCAGGATGCTCATTTTAACCCCAGGCCTGAGGAAGGGGGCAGGGACTCTCAATGCTGATGTGGCCATGCACATCATCTACACTACCCGGAGGAAATGATTTGTCCTGGGTTCCAGAGCAAGTCTGAACATGAGAACTTTCATGACCACAGGAGTGATTCCACAATGAGACCATCCAGCCTTTCTGCACATGGCTTATTTCATTCAGCAGAGTACTCTTTGGGTTCACCCACACTGGAGCCCACTAATCACTGTAATTAATAAAGGTGCTTTATATTCTTGAAAAATGCTGACTAGAGCTCAGATCCCCGGAACCCACATCAACACAAGGTGGACATGGTATCCCACCTAGAGTTCCAGTTTCAGAAGGTAGAGATGACAGATCTCTAAGCAAGCTGGATTGCAAAACTTTTTCTTTGAATTTGGTTTAAGAGACCCTGCCTCAATGAATAAGGTGGAAGAACAATGGAGATGATTCTTAACATCAGCCTCAGGGCTTCACAATACACATACGCACATGTACAAACATACCCCCACATACACATATGCCAACATACAGGCAATCATGGAGAGAGAGAGAGAGAGAGAGAGAGAGAGAGAGAGAGAGAAAGAAAGAAAGAAAGTAGTGCTGAGTATGTTTTAAGCTTTCTCACCACAAAAGATGAAAAGTATGTGAGATTAATGTACAAATTAGCTTGACTTGGCCATTCTATGATATGTACTTACTTCAAAACTTCATGTTGTACATGATACATATGCATAACAAATAAATACATGTTAATTTAAAAAAAGACTGGAGAGGCTGGAGAGATGGCTCAGCAGTTGAGAGCACTGGCTACTCTTCCAGAAGAACTGGAATCAACTCCCAGCTCCCACATGATGGCTCACAGTTGTCTGAGGTTCCTCTGATGCTCTCTTCTGCTTCCATGGGCACTGGGTACACACATACATACAAGCAAAGTACCCATGAAGTACTTTTAAAATCTAAAACATTTAAAAATACTAGAGCCACAGTGACTCTCGTACTCTGACAAGTCCCTGTCCCGAGGCACTAGTGGACATGAACGTTCTGATCGCAGGGACATTCTCAAGGCTCTGAGCATTGTGGGTGAGAAGGGCAGTCTGGGTTCCCAGGTCCTGCCCAGCACAGAGCTGGGATCCCATGTCCCAGATTCAACAGGGCAGAGGGGACTACACACACTGCATGGACCCTGCAGAGTGTGGCAAAGAAGCCCTCTTGGGAAGTGGCTCCAGACTGTCTCTAAGCTTGAGATGGTTTGCCACTGGCCCGAGTCTTCCATGATAACTCACTGGGAACTAGAGGAATGGTAAGAGTTCACCGTGAGCGTCCTGGCTGCACTGAGGCTGGCCCTGTTTGTTACAAGGAGCGACTTAGACCGATAAAGAGGAAAAAACTTAGATGTCTAACAGTAAGCAAATATTTATGTAAATTACGGCAGAGCTATTTGATGGACTATTAAGCAGCCTAGGAAAATGATGCTTACACTAAGAAAATATTCTAAATATCATGTGAACTGGAAAAAAAATCACATAAAAACTGAATCCATAATGCAATATCCACTCTATAATAAAACACGAATAAGAAGGACTGAGAGGAGAGACATCAGATTGTTGGCGGTGCCTGTCCCTGGTCTGGGCGGGAGACTGGAAGTATGTATGGCTTTTCTTTTGCTTCCTGAGTCTTATACAGTATTCTTATAATCAGGGAGAAAGATCTATTAAAAATAAGGAAAAAATTAAGGTGCAGTTCCCTCCACAAAGGAAAAAAAAGCCAACTGAGTATAAAATCTCCTGTGTTTAGAACTGGGGGAGGGGCTCCAAAGGTAACAGAAGTAAATTAACAGGGCAACTGCATCCTGGTAGTAGGACTAGAAGGCATTTTGTTCCCACTAGTCTTTATTTCCAGAACATTCTTTCACTGCAGTGGCAGCAGTAGTGGTGTGGTGACAGTGATAAGAACAATAATTAAAACTGCCATAACCCGAGGACTCATCTGTACCAGGCTGTGCTCCAAGGCACTTTTGAAACATTGGCACATTTTAATCATCACAGACATCTTTCCAGGTATGTTTGGCTTTGCTCATTTTAGAGATGAGGAGCCCGAGGCTCATACATATTCAATGACTTCCACAGTGAGTTAAGGAGGCAGCAAACAGAAGTATAATCTGGGTTTGGCTGATCTACAAGCCACCATCACCTCTGCTTTATGTTACCTTTAAGAAAAAAAAAAACTTCAATTCACAAAACACACAGAGAGGCAAAGGACTTGTGTCTGTGGTTTGGGGGTCACCCTGGGATCAGGGACGTGGAGCCGACCAGCACCAGGGATCAAGCTTCCAGAAGCCAGCCACTGACAGATAAACGCCAGCACCACACCACAGTTGCTGTTCTGCGTTCATGAATGAGACAGTGATGGATGGACTGTCAGGCTAGTGCTGGGCTGTATGCATGGGGCTTCCTTCCCATGGATTCTTCCTCTCTGTGCTCTGGCATAGAGGTGGGGCCCCTGAACACACAGGCCACAGCTCCCAGCACCACGCTCCTTCAGTGAGAGTATATAAATGGCCATTTGTTTCATCTTGCTTCTGCCAGAGTCTACCCACCACCCAGGGCCTACCTACCACCCAGGGCCTACCCACCACCCAGCCCCTACCCACCACCCAGGGCCTACCCACCACCCAGGGCCTACCCACCACCCAGCCTCTACCCACCACCCAGCCTCTACCCACTACCCAGCCTCTACCCACTACCCAAGGCCTACCCACCACCCAGCCACAAGCAGCTTTCTAGAAGACTATTAATAATGGCGATGTATGAGGAGAAAGGGCCCAAGCTAGGAAGCCAAGTCTATTCTGGGCCCTCTACTTTCTGGTTCCTAAGACCTTTGGCAAGATTTTTAACCTCCAGGACCTGAATGTTCTCAGATATTAAAAGATGACAGTGTGTCTTGTCTGCCGTTCAGAAGAGGTGGAGGACAGATGAGGTGGCCCTCCTTTCTTACACACAAATCAGAGCCCTGATGAAAACCCTCCTCAGCTCCCCCTGCCACTCTATTGGGAGGGCAAGGCCTATATTAGAAAGCACGACTTTTAATGCCAGAGTGAGCTGGTCCATATTCACCTCTCATAAACTCTCAAACCCCAATAATGTTTTCTCTTTTTCTCTTTATGATACCTATTTTCTCTAAGGACATCACGTCATTTCAAGCTCACATGCCTTCTACTTTCCTTGACTGGGATTTCCTGTCTCCTGCTGTCTACTTAGTAAGCCCTGGAGAACGGTTCACACATCAACTCCCAACCCCAGCTGGCTGCTCCACCCGGGGGCTCTGGGTCAGGGTCCTTCCCACTAGGGATGCCTATTCACAGGCATTGCCTGTGTTCCCTACCTCAGTCCCTCCATCATCCAACAGACCACCTGCCTAGTGTCTCCGGGGCACGAAGTGGGAGGCAGTAAAAAGATAACAGGAGCAGAG